AACATTTCGAATACAGTTACTGCTGCATTGGTAATAAATGAGGAGTCGGTAATTCTGGCTGTACTGGTGTGTTAAGGGCAGCCCCATGGTTGGGGCCCAAGACCAGGCTCACCTCCCTTCACAGTGCGACCCAAGAAACGTGGCCTCAGGAGCACACCCTTCAAACTGCACATCTGGACACATCTGGCCTGTGACCACACTCCCCCAGGCACACTCTCACAGGCAGGCTGTGAGGCAGCCCGGCAGAGAACAGGTGAGACATAGACCCCGCTGGCCTCACGGCTGCTCTGGGGATTGATTTTTTCAGAGCACGCAGACATAGTGCTTTTTTTTTTCCCCTGCTAAGAACTGGGAAAAAATGCAAACAACAAAAACAATTTCACAGTGTAGCAACAAATCTAGCAAATGCAGTACATCACTGCTCTCTTCTCCAGTTGCGGCCATTCATCCCACAGGAAAGAATGTCTTTTGCTTTTGCACCCTCAGGACTAGACTCCTCTCCCATCTTGAAAACTCTGATTACAGCCTGCTTTCAGTGATCTCTTTAGTCATTCTGCAAAAAACACCATGTCATGCATTCAGCATCCCCTACCAAGCACTTAAAATATTGTTTGAATTAATTAAAACTCACGTTCACCCCCAAAGCAGGCATTACACGAAGTGGTAAGCTGAGATCTAAAGCCCAACTCCTGACAGCCAGACCCGTACTTCTCTGCTAGCAACTGCATCAGTCTCCCTGCTGACAGCAACTCCACCTTTGGTCCCCTGTGGAAACTACTATTACTACATTACTAGTCCCATGGAATAAGAAACTTTCTGCCATGGTTTTAAATATCAAAATAGGGTTTTAAATGATTTCCTCAAGTTCACAAAATGAGGTAGCAAAACCCAGAGCAGAGCGGGCTGACTCATTTATACTTCGGTGTTTTAGGGAACTGTTGAAAACAAATACTGCAGGTAAGTTCCAGCATTTCATCTCCTTCAATCTTTCTGCTTCCCTGGCCTCATTCCATAGTGTTGATTTAAACCGAGTAGAATAACTCGTTTGTTCCATAGCCTGGAATGTTTGACAGCATCTTGAAGTAATAACTCATATTTTTTCCATCTCCTCTCCGTCAGATCTTTACACAATCATTTGCTTATTTTAGCTTTCATGGCTGCTGGGAATTCTCAGATTCTCTTGTAATGAGAGACATTTTCCTTGCAGTTCCTCACAGGAGAAACAGAGCATACTTTTTAGTTTTATTTGGCCAAGTGAATATTTTTAGTTAAAATTCCATTACCCCCGTTTTCTTATCATGTAGCTGGAACTGTGCAGCACTTATTCATGGCTGGATATGAGAATCAGAAGTCCTTGGGACAGTGTCTACTTCTACCTCATACCCAAAAAGAGACTTTAGAGAAGTCCTTCCTAAGAAATTGCCTCGAAAGCATGAGCCCTACTGTAAATGTACTATTTATTATTTGAGATTGTATTATTTGAGATCTCAAATTTACCACTGTGACAATTAGACTTCTCCACAGGCCATTTAAAGTCTTATTCTAATGTGTCAGATAGTCTGAACTGCAGGTAGGTCTTTAAAATAAAGCTATATTCTGGACACTTCACCATTATATCATTTCTCCATCTCCTCCTGCCTCTGTGCTAGGCATGGATGCAGAACTGTTTTCTCCTTGGTTTCATACAGGTAGCCAAAAGAGGCTACAATATCTACTAATGTTTCCCACTCCAGGCTTTTTTTTTCTTTTCTTTTCCCATTCCAGACTACATGCTTTCCACTTATGTTACTTAATTTGTAGAACATCTAGTAGACTTTATTATCCCTATGCCCTCTTCCTCCATATAGGCTTCTACCCATTTGCCTTTACAAAATTGCTAGTCAAAAAATGTAAGGGAAAAGATTTACTGACTGGTAATTTTACCCTTCCTCCACCTTCTTATGCTGCTTGTTTTCTCCTTCTCTCTCCCGTCCTTCTTATGCCACTTTTTTCTTAGAGCAGGCTCTTTTAGGACGAGCACTTTTTGCTTGAACATTGCAATTTGCTTTGAATATTCTGAAAGCACTTAGCCTACTGTGAGCTCTGCCTTATTCCACAAAAAACTCCAGGTAGCAAACTCCAGGTAGCAATGGCAGCCAGAGGGAAAAAAATGTGTTGTAACTTGCACGAAACAGGGGAGACAAAACACAAGCTGCCAAAGAGAAGGACTCAGAGGAGGCTGACAGCTTGTTTTCCTGCCAAAGATTCATCTTAATGGTGTGGGGTCCTCCTACGCTGCTACCTGCTCGTGATATATGGGACAAATGAGGGAGCTGGGATTACAGGAAGGTTTCTGATGCACGAAAACTCAACTTCAGTACCTTGCTATCATTTCACAGATAGTTTCATAGATTTTGAGGTAAAACTATTAGGACTGTTTACCCTCCTGCAGAGCACAGGCCATAGAAAAATACCATTCAATTTATACATCAGGTCTGCGCATTCTGTTTGAGGTATAATATAATCAGTCTATACCTCTGTGCTTTTATCTTTCTGTTGTTGCATCTTGGTACGCCTGTTTCTGAAAGGTCAAAGAGAGGTCCCTGGGTGGATAAATCAGAAATACCACATATATGGGCAGCTATATGTTTTCAACCAATCCATTAATTCAGTCCTACCCGCATAACTACCTGCTATTTTATGCTTTTGGTGTTACCCTTGTTCCCTGACCTCAAAACTTTCTACTCTTCTCTGAATCTTCTGACTGTCATACCCATACAGAGTGGCAAAATTCCTGCAGAAGAGCGTGCTGTCGCCCGAACTACAGGTCTCTTCCGGAGCTGAAAGGGTGGCACATGGACTGATTAACTCTAACCTGCTATCCTCAAAAAACAGGCAATAAACATAGATTCATCTCAGCAGATTTCCAAAGCCTGAGAAAAATATCTCTAAATGAGAGATTTCCAAAGTCTAAAATAAAAAAGATCTGAGCTGTTACCTGCATGCTGCAGCTAACTCTTTGTTGCAGTTACCTTTCCATTCAGTAAATTCTTTCTGGTTGCTGTAATCCTTATGAAATTCCAAGCCTCTCAGGAAGTTATGAGACTTTCCCAGCAGCGGGCGCTTTGTCATAATGTCCTGAAACATTTCATACAATTTCCCTGACAAACAAGATGGAGGCTTGATGACAGTGGTATCGTCCTCAGGGGAATGTTTATCTGGAGCAGAGAGGGCAGTGTGAGAAAGAACATCAGTGACCTGTTCTGCCATGTACCTCTGCTGGCTAGCTGCCCTTCCCGTCTTCCTGTGGGCCCCTGCCCTCCCCGTTTCTTGCAGTCTGCTTGAAAACGTATGAACACAATCCTAGTCATGTTTGTTTTTGTTTAAAGCAAATATAGCTTTTGCCTTTTACTCTTTCAAATGATACAGTTGCTTCATACTTTCGCCTACAAGCAAAAGGCACCCTTTTTATATGCACAGTCAGAGCAGGAGTCATTTAACAGACTGTAAGCAAATTTTAAATGAAAAGCATTTGCAATTAGCATGAAGTGTGACTGTGCATGAAAAAGGAAAAAAGAGAAAAGAAAAAAACAAAAGAGGAAAACGTCACAAAGCCCGCAGAAAAAGTGGAGTTTGTCTTCCATATCATCAGAGTGGAACCAAAGTCATTCTGGTGCAGATGAAAATCATACTAGAAGATCCACAGTGATGCAACACATGATGCACCAATTTAGGGACAACATGTGAGAGATTATCCACAAACAGTTGCAATAGTATATCTTCCTAATCCTCTCCTCTATAGGAAGTACTATATGGTCAAGATTTATTTTGAAACTCTTACCTATATCTACCATATCTTTGGCCCATCGTTCCCAGAATTCATTTGAATTTGAAGACCAATACAAGCCATCCAGCAAATTCCTAGTAAAGATGTTTGTCCAAAGACCTGCAAGTTAAAACATATCGGAAAAATACTGCACCAACTCATGCTAATAACTGGGTATTTCATATAAATTTTCTATTACAAGTAGCCATGCAACATATTATTGACCTATGTGAATTGACCTTGCTGTGACATTGCTTAAGGAATAAACCTCACAGAATTCAGATTTAATGATAACATTTCAGTGCTCTTTCTCAAAAGCTTTCTACTCACAGTTCATTCACTTTATACTACAGAGTAACAAAACAGAAATATCAGTCACCCAAACCATATTTTAGAGTGTCTGCCAGGTACTTGTGAAAGAAAGAGATTGTAAACAGACTTTGGAAGCATGGGTGAAGCCATGTAAGTTTAAGAATTTTCTTTCAACTGATCTATTCTTTAAATTTATCTAAGGCCTGTTTTTTTTCCTTTCAGGCATGTTTAGTTTCTGCGGAGTCCAACCGATACAGGATCAGAATGGAATTGGCTCCATATGCAAGTCTGCTTTTGGAGAGGAAAGAATTGCCATTTGTCATGAGCCCATGCCAAGTACTCACATGAGGAACAAATTCAATCTCTAGTGGTCTTCACAATGAAGGCAATATGATTTTGATCACCTCTAGACCCTTTTTTGATGTCGAGGGCCTTAATTTTGACAAGGATTTCGAATCTGCCTGAGCGAGATGGACTCCACTGACTAGCTACCGTTCCCCTCTTCCTTGCCTTGAGAGGCAGAGCAAGGTACGAGTTAAGGCAGTTGCTAGAGGTTAAAAGGGCTTCCTTCATCCTTACAGGCAAGGAAGATTAGTGGGGGTAGTTAACACCATTCTCAACCCAAAAAGCTCGGAGGATTCTTGCCTTCGTGGCCTTTGTGGGTTGTTTCAGAGGAGGTGTGGGGTTTTGGGGGTTTTTTTTTTGGCTCCTTCCAGTTATACACCTGCAACACAATGCCTACAAAGAGGCTGCAGAGCTACCTCACTTCACTTGCCTATGAAATGACTGGCTAGGGGGAAGGGGTTAATATTTCCTCATCTTGCCTTCTGCATCTTTTTGCTTGGCTCAGAAAATGGGAAGGGGGACCCTGCTGCAACTCTCCAATCCTGCCTGAGGGAAAGGGTGGAGAGGAGGAAAGAAGCTTTACAAGGAGTTGAAGTGCACAGAGCAGGTAAAAAGTGCACTGAATGACGACCAAGAGTAGACTTGCTGGCAAGGACTGTTCTACACACAGAGCAGTGGCTAGTTAGTACCAGATCCATGGTTTCTCCTGTGTTTTGATTAACTTTATTCCTTGACTACTTAGGTCACCTTCCAGATAGCAGATCCGAGATTCTGGTAACTTCTTCACTCGCCTTCCCATGAAGAACTCGCTGTCAAAAAATTCTGAAGGAATGGAGGCTCCGTATTTTGGTATGGCCACCTCGTAAGGAGAAAACTCCGTCCATTCTGCAAAGGAATTGACACATGGTATGTTTACTGTAATACAGAGTAAGAAGATGAAACCTCCCTCTATGGATACAGCTATCCACAAGTTAAACGAGGTTTGCTAGTCTCAGCAGCTCTGTATTATCAGTAGCTTGTAGGTCAAACTATACTGTCTATTCCCATAAAAACTGACAGATTATTCACATACAGAAAGAATCAGCTTTTTCACCTCAGAGAAAGGGTCTGACATTAGCTTCAAAAGCTTAGATTTATATTTCTGTATAAAGGTTCTGGGATCCCACTTGTCTCTGCAAGTCAAGAGCATTAAATGTACAACAGGTTAAGTCTGATCCAACCTGCAAGGAATGACTGGCATGAAACCTCTGCTAACCCACCGATCTACACCATAAAACGAAGCAGCTTGAAGAAAACATCAGCTCAGAACTAGCAGGTATCACAATATGGACATATTGATGCAGTTTCCCGACTCAACATCTCTTGTATAGCTATTGCAGTAGAACAGTAGCCATAAATCTAACCTAAATGTAAGTACTAAATGGTTTTTCTCTCATTTTAATACCACTTGTTGAATGTAGCCTGCATCTATTGAAAAGGTCAGATCATATGTGTCATATCAATCACATCCATGTCTCCATTCTAGACATTTTCATACTCTCATTTGTGTAATATTTGGGGAAGTGACAATTACATTTCACAGCAGCTTTACAGACTAAGGAACCATCATAACCATTTTATAGGCGTGGAACTGAAGCTGAAAAAGATTACATGATTTGCCCGCAGTCACACGCTTGAACTTCAGCCCAGATGTTCTGAGATGCCCTGTTCATGTCTGAGGACGTCAGCTAGCAGATCTGCTTTTTCTTAGCCACATCCAGTAGTTCCAAAGAAAGACAAACATTTTAGCAGAAGATGAATCCTGAGTCAGAGAAAGCAACAGAGGCTTTCTCCCCTGCCCCCAGCCCTCCAAAACCTCTGTAGTCCCTATGCAGGGTCACAGGTAACTCTAGGAATGCTTACCTCTAAATCTGAAAGTGCTGAACTTTTCCTCTTTGACATTGAGGACCGCATAGAAAGGCAATGGGTTTTGGCCATGCTCCAATGCCTTGCGCTGGTCTGTGAGTTTGTACTTTCTTGCCTAATCAAAGATTTAAAAAAAAAATCACAGTAAGCCTCAGGAGAATTAAACTAAACTTCCTGAAACAGCAAGACAGAACACAATCTACCTGAGCAGTGGCAGATGTCAGATGTTTTACTACCCAAATAAATCTCTTGGTCACATTTTCATAAGAGGCTCTTTCTTTGTGTTCCTGTATTTTCTTTCCTCGTTGTCTTTTTGATATGCACTAACCTGTTCAACAATGTCTAAGTGCCTTGGCTGTGTCCCACAGACCTTTACTAAAGTTCAGACTAATGTTCACAAGAAGACAGATTACGCTAGCTCTTAAGTGTCCACCTAGAAAGAGACTTTAAAAGATCTGATTTTTCAAGGGGAATCACTCAGTTCTTTCTGAAAGTTTAGCCATTGAAGCTGTTGTCTGTTGAGCACTCCAATACAGAGGCACCATCAGATCATTAGCTACCCCAGAATATCCTGACTGTAGGATACTTTGTCATTGTTTACAAATCACACTGGGATGCCTCAGTCATTTTGGATTTGTTCCAGACGTTATCCATCCACATTATATCATGGGACCAAAGCTCTAAAGAAAAAGAGAGGTGTTTCCCAAATCCGTGGCAGGACCATACTCCTGGCAGGATGGTATATACCTGATCATGTAAGAACATTTCCTGAACAAGTGACCATAAGGTTGTAAAAGATGAGATATGTCCCTCTTTTGCCCTTTCAGTGAGTTCCTTGTGAAAATACTTCAGATTCTCCACAGACATAATGTTGAACTTGCTTTTTGTCACTTGTTCTTTTACCACCTTGAGTGGCCCTTCCAGAGTCTTCTGTGACCAATCAGCATGCTCATACAGGTCTGCTAGGGTCCTGAAAAACAGAAATGTGAACAAAATCATCCATTTAATAACAAAAATTACTGGTTTTACCCATCTACTTCCATCAGAGGAGAGAATTAGCAAGACTATGATAGAGAACCAACAGTAATGGCTTTACCAAGGAATTAGGTTCACTTATTAACACCGTAAGACTTCTTTGAAAGAGATACATCTCTCTCAGTGTGTGGAAATGTGGTGTCACACTCATTCCAGATTCCAAATACAAATCCCATCTTCTATACGCACCATGTTGAGCCAGAAGCCCCAGTGAGATAAGTAATACAGTCCAACAGATTTAGTTTCTGAAGAGCTAAGAGGTGGCCAAACATTGCTGACATTGCTCTGAGGCCTCCACCTGTTGCCATTACAGCTATTACAGGGACCTGTTCAAAACATAAGCATTATTTTCAAAAAGTTGCTCACTTGCCTACTTGGAAAAGTCTAATTCCAGCGTTTATAACTTCCTTAGCAGACTCTACTGGAGGACAATGAAATTACATTGATGTTCAGCCAGACTTTACAAGTACGTTCTTTAAATTAACCTCTAGATCCTCAGTGGGTTCCCTTAATCTCAAAGCTTAGATGGGTTTGAATATTCAGTGATTTTTAACTCTCCTTCCTCCCTTTGTTCTTTATAAGCGGAATCGCAATGATTTATACTAGATAATCATCTGATTTTATTATTAATAATGAAAACTTAAATAAATGCAATTAAGAATTGATTCAAGGAAGTCCTGAACAGATTGCAAAAAAATGTATTAAGCAAACAAAATGATTCTTTGGATAGTGCCCATTTGACAAATAAAGTTCCAGCAAGAAAATCAATGTTCCCTTAAAAATTCACCCTGCATCTAGGCAGCAGAACATACTTCAACTGGATGCCGTTAGAAAGTGTTCTTTCGCAACCCAGAGGATTTTGAATTTTTGTGAAAATTGTTTTGAAAATGAAAAAAAAATCAGCCTAAAAAAAGGAGATTACAATGATTACATAGATTCCTGTGTGAGGTGAATTTCAAATACCCCATTTTCCAACCTAGGGTTGTCTGGCTAGGTTGCATCTCACACAGTGTACTAATAATCTGCTCAAGGTTAACCAAGTCTCATAACCTGCCGACATGCTGTATCACACCATTGGGAACTCTGGACTTGAGGAGGGGTATATTATGTCCTTGGGAATTCAGCCCACTGAAGAGAATGGGGACAAGAATATTTGAGCTGAAATTTTGGGGTATACCACTCAGAGAACTTCTGTTCTGCTGCCATTCAATTAAAATCAATAGGTTTGTCATCAACATGCAAAAACTACCAGAAAGTCTGTGGGGAGCTGTGCCGATCTGAATTCAATAGCCTTGACGTCAATTTTCTATCAATAGCCCCACACCCCATGCTTGGATTCCAACTCACAGACCTCATGTCCATGCAGATCTCTTTCCAGATGAAGAACCTTTTTCAGAGCATTGGCAACCACTCTCTTCCTTTTTTGCAAGAATTCTTGCTCTTCTGGGCACAGATTATATCCTAAGCGCACATCTAGTTTTTCTGAGCTGGAACATAAATAAATCCAGAGGCACAGGACTGGTGTTTAAAATGTTCATGGATCTACTTTCAGCAACTGCAGCTTATTAAACATTACAAAGATTCATGATTCACTGTTCAGATTTAGACACTGAAATGCAGATCCTAGCTTCAAAGAAAGCAACTGCTGTGCTTCTATGTGGTCTCATTACTTTCTGATGTTTCAGCGTAAGTTCAACTGCTAGCTTAGGATAGCAAATACAGAAAGAGAAAGGCTTCTTTGTGGCCTTCACTAGCTTTGTAAGCTGAATCCTTTCTATTTCTGCTTCATATAATTTCTGAACTAAGGGTCACCAGAACCTAATGTTGTCTTCCATGGAGTCTTGTACCATGGATCGCTAGAGTAAGAGTTTAATGAAAAAGATAATCATATAATTTTTGTTAATATTTGTTTTCCAACTCATTGTTAAGAAAATTTCTACTGTACTCTAGTTTTCTGCAGACAAAAAATGCAAGGTCACATGCCTTGCAGCCAGAACATCTTATCTGACCTTGCCTCAGCTCCTATTTTTCGTACGTAGTTGAAGAACTGCAAAAAAAAGTTTAATCCAACCAGCAGTACAAAAGTTGCTCAAAGGTAACGCCAGAAGAGATGCAAATCAGCTAATGAGTAATCATAAGATGGACCACTGAAGGCTGGAACGGAACTATTTCATGCTGTAGTGTGGCAAGCGGATTGGTAAAACTAAGAATCGTGGATAGATCTGTTTGGTTATGTAAACTAAAGTACCGAATATGTAACAACTTACTTTGGCTTAAAAACTGTAACAAGAAGCTACTGGGGGTCCCTTCTTGTGCTCTCAGCCAAGAGGCACCTTATTGCTAGCAATAAAATTTAGCAACTTAGAAATCTGACTCCTGCTGCTCATTACCAGTGCCCGTGAACAAATAAAAGAGAAAAGATAATTTTAATATTATTATTTTACAGTGTAACTTCTTGCTAGCTAATGCTTCTTTCTATTAATATAGCTGGGACCACAATTCTGTCTTCTTTGGTTTGAGTAATGTATAGCATCTGGATGTTTTGCTCATATCAAACTCTCTTTTCCCTCTGCCTTATTCCTGTCTCTGTACCCCTTTTGAAGACAACTCCAATCTCAGTCTTTGTCTCTTTGACTCAAAGGACGTTCTGACCAAGTTCTTCACTGTTTGAAACTGCCATCATTTTTCTTGGCATCTTGGTATGACTCTGTTGCCCCAAAGGTATGTAACTTCACTATCTTATGGTGACTCTTGCATGGTGACTTAACTATTGTTCTGTTTTGTTCCAGTCTTGTGCATTCGTTATATCTAAATGAGGAATACTCCGCTCTAGAATTCACTGTTCAAAGAGCAGTATAACCTTCAGAGAAAAAAACAGTTCTCTTACCAATCATTTAGTTGGAGGTACAACTGCAGGGGCACATTCTGTAAGCAAAGAAATGTAATTATTAAAAAGCCAGACATGATTTATTTTACTGGGGGAGAAAGAGAGATGTTTTGAAATCATGATTTTTAGTGCCCCCTCCCCCCCTTTTTTTTTTTTTGAAAACTGTAGAAGGAAAAGGAAGGAGAGCAAATAAGCAGCAAAAACATTCTGTAGAGAAGCAAAAGAGGCAGAAGCAGTAGAAGTAACTCTAGGAATGGGCTATCGAACAGGACTCCTACCTCACTGTGAATAGCCCTGTGAACCAGCTTAACTCAGCAGTAATATCACACTATCACCCTCCAATTTTTGAGGATAAAGAGCAGTATCCTGCTAAAGACTGTGTTAAGAAGAGGAAATATAAGTCACCATATACTTCCAAAAGGCTACTGCCAAAAAAAGATGCCCACCAGTGGGGTGGGGAATCACGCAAGGTGAAGCAGATACTCATTCTCACTTCTGTTTATGAGGAAGACTGCTCAGAGATTCTTTTCCTCCTATTTTCGCCTCTTTCCTGCTGTGAGGTCTGAAAAAGTTGTCTGGCTATTGTTAGCAGATTCATCTAGCTACACAGCAGTGTTAGTCCTGCTTTTAAAAAAACTTAAAGATGTACTTATCCACCAGTTACCATCATGACTGTAGGCATAGAAGAATGTAGCAGAAGTGTTCACTGAGGGTAAGATTCATCTCATCTAACTTCAGCCATCTAAAAGTTAGGTATATAGTCTGAGCTAGTCACCCAGGCTTTGCTTGAGATGGTGGAGATAGACTGAGAGCTCTACCAAGAGCAACCCAAAGCCTTACTAAGAGAGTAGAACATTTTCCTTTAGCTGTATAAGCCCAGAAGAAGTTGGCCTTTAATTTTAGATGCTTAAGCTTCTAGAATTAGCCAGGATGGTTCCCCCATAATTGGTTTTATTGACAGAGTGTTGATATTTCTATGAGAAACTAACCTTTCCTTCTATTTGCGGAAAATTCCCCCCAAGACTTGCTAATTGAAGGGAGAGTTTTCAAATGATGCAGTGTTAAATACAGTTAAACAATGTGTTGATTTAGCTGAGGGTTACTTTGCTCGTCTCTCAAAAAGTTCATATAAATGGTGAGGCACTTACGTTTCTTACAGGGAGGGCTACTTTCACTTTATGTCCAACAGGGAGAAATTTCAGTGGTACTGTTAAGGTGTCACTTAAATTGTTTTTGTCATCTTCCTTATCAGGAACTTTCTGCAGAGAACAGAAAACATGTTTTTCATTCCCAGAACAGAACAATCCTGTTCTTCACCTTTTTGGTAATGCTGGAAAGGAATGAGAAGTATGAACCGTGGTACCGTACAGTGCCCATTACCTGCAGCCTGACTTTTAGCACAGGCTCCCAAGCCTTCACGCAATGGAAATAGAAAGTATTTATGTCCTCTGTAGTCTTCTGTGTTCCTTCATGAGATGCAGGAACCATAAGTATGACATTTTTGCCCTCTAGATAAAACAGAATTGTTCAAATTTGTTACTGCTACTCAGGTAAAATACCTAACAAAGTCGACAGACTTTCTGCTGGAGGCTCACTCTCTGTGACAACTCCTCCATAAGCTGCCATTCTGGCAAGTGTCCTACAGCACAGGCACAGGTCTTCATATGATCAATAACTGGTACTTCTGCCTTTACCCCATAGCTTGGAGTGCTCACAATGTCAGCACTCTCTCATACCTCCACTAGAAAACTTGGCTGTATCGAGACTTGGTAGTTTCAAGGAAAAGACACAAGAGATAAGAGTTACAGCCTTGGGCAGTTCAAATACTTTCCCTCGTCTCTATTTTATTTTCCTTAATAGGTGTTCAATCATCTTTTTATCTTAATGTGCCTCCCTCTGGAACTGACTATGATAGGGTTGATTTGGTTGTGTCCTCACTTCACAGAGAAATGGGCGTACCTTTCAAATATTTCATGCTTTCACTTCTGTCCACTTGCACTTCCAAGCAGCAAACTTCACGGGACTGTGAAAGACACCAGTGGAAAAAGCATGAAGATACAGCAAGTGCCATATCTGCTGTACATAATGAAGCATCATGCAGATAGTCCTCAGCTATAATATATAGCCAACTAAACTGGCTTCAGTGCTGGAAACAATCTAGTTGCACAAGAGTAGATTTAGAGCTCATTATCTCACGACAGTGTTGCAGTAGCCCAGTTATACTGCTTCTGAACCAGCTTGTCCATATAGTGGTGCAATGCTGCGGGTGATCATACCCATTGAAGCTATCCTGAAATCAGGAATCTCGGTATTACACACTGTTGCCCAAACACAGCTATAGATCTATCTGCTAATTATTTAGGAAGGGTAAGGGGAATCACCTGATGATGACTTTCTGTGTAGTGTGGCTGTGATTAGTCTATGTGGCATCTTCTTGCTGGTCCTGATGAAGGGCGATCATGGATTTATTCCACCCTACCCCCTACCTGAGTCATTACAGTTCACCTTTAATAAGTCATGCCAGGACAGTTTTCCAGGCCGTTTCAGGAACAACTCATGCCAATCATTACAGCTCTTATGCTTCACACAGACAATGAGGGGGAAAGAACAGCATATGTGTTATTCTGCCTCAGGGGTTACAGAGGTTAGCATCTGGAAATCACGTGCACGTTTGGAGTGGTTGGCATGAAGTACTTTGTACTCCTTAGCTGCTGGGCCAGCCCAAGGAGATAGGTAATGTACCACATACTGACTAATACCATGAGAGGATTCTGTGTTTCAAAACCTGAAATGGCTCTTTATTAACAGACTCATTTCCAAAAAAGCTGTTACATTAGATAATCTCCCAGTCATATGCACATTGACTACTTACCAGTGCCTTCTACAAACTCATCCCTTTTACGACCTTCATTTTTCCTGCCAAGTGCCACTCCGTATTACATTAAATACAAGCAGTATTTCACTTTGAACATCTATCAATAAGGGACTCTGAAACATTAAAAAACCAAACCTGGGAAAAATATTGACATCCATAACACCTAAGGACTTCAGAAACAAGGCCACTATTTCTGCACAGAGAGGGCAACGTTTAAACCATAAAGAATGGGAATCATTCCATATTTTTCTCTTTATAATGCAGACCATACTCTTATCTATCATGGTGGCTTTTGTTCTCTCTATAAAGTGTCAAATGATTAGGGGGAAAGTGTAAAGAAACAAAATGAAGGAAAAGTCACTCCAAGCTAAATGCATATGTGAACCTTACCACTAGGACATCATTGGTAATGAGGTGCTCTGGAGGGCCAGGACTAAAAAGACAGAACCAAACAAACAAACAAACAAAAGCTTTGTGAGTGTCTAGTATTTTCATTAAATAATAGTTTTATATCCTTTCCTGCTCAGAATTGAGTATGGTTAAGTTAGTGTCAGAATTTGTTTTTGAAAATCCTAACACTTGATCACCTGCTAAGCACATGAACCACAATGTAATAGCTAAAAAGAAGACAGGCAAGAGTGACCATAAAAATACCAGTGCTTAAAACTGCATGTTAAGACATAGCAGAATAAAAAGGTATTGTTCTGTGTGGAATCATGTCCTACCCTTAACAAAAATTACCATATAACTTAAGGAAGGCAAAGACTGCTATTAATATACTATGTGCAAATATTTATTAGGAAAGGCATTTCTGACTGTACCAGCTTATAATTTGCATCTGGTCACCAAAGAATGGCAAATAAGAATTAGGCCCCACTGTGCTACAAGTATAACTGGAAAACACGCAGGTAAGCAATATAAAGTCTTTGTCCCACACGTTTACTTAGTAAGACCTAGATTTGTCACTGAACGGATGTACCTATTTAATACTATGAGTACGTTAAGCACATTTGTAAATGTTTTCACAGATCTGAAAGGACCGTTAAAGTTATGCTGCTTGACTTTCTGCGAAGCCCAGGGTATTTTATCAGGCACTACATCCACCCATGTAACTTCTATCTGAGCTGTAGAATGTATTTAAATGCAAATACTCAGGCTCGACTTCCAAGAATGGAAAATCCCTGCCCTGTGCCTTATAACTTGCACTGTGAAAAATGTTCCTCTTATTTCTAGTCAGAATTTGCCCAGTCCAGTTTCCAGGCACTGCCTCTCATTCTCTCTTTTTTATTTATCTGGCAGTGATTGCTTCCCCATTTGCAGCAGAAGCTTACACCCCTTCTTAAGGTTCTCACAGAAAAACTAAAAAGATTTTCGGAATCACTTTGTGGGGGAAATTAACACAGAATACTAGTCATTTATTTCAGAACTTTTCTTGATTTTTAAGAAGAAGCAGCCCTAGTTACAATTCTTTATTTTAATCATGCAGTCAGTTTTAATTGGACTATATCTCTTTTTCGTAGTGCTAGGCTCAAATATGTCATGTAACGCAGTTATTTTTTCAAGTAAACTTATGATAGCGGTTACAAGTGTGTTACAGCGTATTTTACGGGATTTGCTCTCCTCCAGACGAGGTTGATTATTGCTGCTAGCAGGGGTCTTATTTTTATTATTTGTTGATTGCATCTTTTTCCAGTTTAACTAAGCATTGCCTAATGGGTGACCTGTCTAATACTATCTATGTCACCCTATGCATATTTTGTGATAGTAATACAACACAAGTTTTCTGGTCTTTTAGGAACAGCACAGTGTTCAAGGCATTGCTAAATTGATATTAATAGCTTGGAGAGCACCTCTTAACTCTTTTATGCCTCCTGTGTGCAAGTTATCACATGGTGCCAACATTACTACATTTCCATGCTTAGGATACAGATGCCAAACAGAAGGCAAGACTAGTATAAAATATACTGAAAGACAGAATTAGCAGGTGAAGTTGAGGTAAAAATAAAACTGAAACAGTAACTTCGGCTCACCGCTGGGAGGAAGAAATGTAAGAATTTCCTCTCTCTCAGATATTACTACTCCCCATCAGTTCTATACCCCTCAGCTTCACAGTTTTACTCACATTTTTTCCATCTTGAATTCCACTTCCAAACATTCCCATTTCTTGGTGCACCTCTCTCTCTAGAAAGAAAAGGATAAAATAAACATGGCCTATTGGAGGCTGCAACAGCCTGACAGTATAGACATATCTGGAAAACACTGTACTTCCACAGCTGACAGCTGTTCCGCTAATGTGACCAAAAAAAAGCTGTATGTTACCTCTCTCCAAAGCTGAGATTGCAGTGAAAGCACAGCCTTGGGAAAGGCATGCAAGATTAACATTCTCCCATTGTAGGGCGTACAGAACTGAACAGACTTCCAAAATTATAATCAGAGAGAGGAAGCTTGGCTGACACCAAAATATAATGGCTTTCTGCAAAGAACGTGCGCATGGTTGCTAGACGCTGAAGTCCAGCAACAAATGTGACTATTGCCAGTGCTGTTTCCATGTACAAACCATTTAAACCACATTCCCACTGAATCCAGCAAAGATAAAGAAGTAGGCAGAAGCACCCTTGACTGAGATGGATACTGAATTATTATATTCCCCCACAAAAATTTGGCCACTGTCTCCCTGGGCTCAATAACATTAGGAGCTGGCTTATATATAAAGAATAGGCTAGGTGCCTTGATGCTAAATATAAAGTAGCATAGGTTTTGTATTTCATTTGCTACATCTTCTCAGTTCTTGGACTCACTCCCTTCTGGACATTTGCCTTAAACATTGGTGAATACTTCACATTGTTTTACTGAAACATTTGCCCAGTAATCCTGGGCCTATGTGAACTAGAGTGAAGTTGACAAGCTGGATGCCCTGACTCATGTAAACAGTGGATCAGTGTGAAATGAGGTGAGCGAGCAGTCAGAAAATGTTGCACCCTAGTGATATTTGCCTAGGGAGCCAGTCGCTGAGGAGCGCATGGCACCAGCCTGCAGAGTGACTAGGAGGATTTGTTACCAGCTTTCTGCGTTAGGGAAGTAGCTCTTTTTTTTAGGTATGGACTGTCTCTCTCCCGCAATCAGCATGTAGCAGTACCTCAGTCCCTGCTCAGAGAAACCCAGGAGTTGTCACAGGACTATCCCAGCTTCCTTCGCTAAACAAATCTCTTAAAAGAACACAAAAGATGTTAGCAGAATAGGAATTCTGTTAGCAGAATTCCTTTTCTGTGGGCTAGGGAAATGTGAATCAACTAGAAGGAAACACAACATGACCATTAACAGGAGAAGCCTGAAAGCATCATTTAATTCAAGTAGCGAGTAGATTGTCTTCACATTTGTAATGAAGAGCTGTTGTCTGTGAGGAAATGTCCTTTAAGCATGGCCCAAGGAGAATGAAGCCAAAAGGTACTGAAGTTGCTTATTGGCAATATGAAAGATAAAAATGATTGTATTTACAGATACTAGCTATTAATTATTTTGCCCCTCACATGGTTTCATGAGAGAGAAGCTGGTTCATTATCCCAATCTGTGAAGAGAGATTGATGAAGTCATAAGAATCCAACATTTAATGATATCTGACATGATCAGGTATTGATAATGATATTAATACTTAAGGACATTTGTTTATGCAGACCCAAACCCCACTTAACATGGGAGACAATGCAGACAGCAACATCTTGCTGAGCTCTCCCTGAAATTTCAGTCCTTACCTCCGATTTCAAAGCAAATGTCTCATGGACTGTCTTTCCAGGTTTGACTCTAGCAACGTTAAAAAGAACTGTGAACTGCATGTCATCTTTGGTGAGAGGATCTTCATCACATAACGCCAATTCTAAGATGTTCTGGTAGTAGAAGAAAATATATAAGAACTCTATCGAGCTGCTATTACCCAGAAACCAAAAAAAAGCTTATATACTTTTGCAGCTGAATGACTACCACAGTGGCAAGAATAAAGGAATCAGTGCTTTCATTCAGGTGTCTGCTAATGTGGGATGCAGTCATTAACTGAACTCAATGTTGGGAAACTGATCATGGAAGAGAAGACTACTACCCATAACAGTGAGCTCCCACTATCCCAAGATAGAAAGGATGTCAGTGCTCTGCACCGCTCTTTGATAACCAGTCCAAGAACACTTTTCAGGTTCCTCATCCCCAGCTAGTTGCAAATTCTACTGTAGAAGCATTTTCTTAAATTACTTAGCACATTTGATCAACAGGGTACTAAGTGAGGACTCCCTGCTGTTCAAAAGAGTGAATTCTCTATTTTTTTTACTACCTCAACTTCACTCTGGATCCTGAAGTAGAAAGTCTCGTTCCAGACAGGGTCATCAGAATTCTTGATGGTTTTGGTCTGAAGCTTTTCATTTGAAGCAGAAGGCAGCCACAAGCGCACATAGCAGTCTGATGCAGTCACTGCAGCAGAAAAATATTTAAAACCTGAAGTCAATATTATAGATGATAACAAAGGCAAGGCCATGATTCTGCGGACTAATAAATACCTTTTTTTCTTTTCTTGGTAAGTGAGGAGACAATTGGCTGGAAGCAACCAAGCAGAAGCATCTTACTATACTATCTCATTCCAGGATAACTACAAAGGGCAAATGCACACGTTGATACACACAAGGTACACTAAACGCAGTATTTCCCATGTGAACAGAAAGAGGTATAAAAGACCCCACTGAAGGTTCTTCAGGCATATTCCCTACAATTCCAGCCAACTATGTTTAAAAAAGATTAATAGAAATTGGAGCTAATTCCAAAAAGGGCTATTAGGATGATCAAAGGAAAGGAGGACATATTTTACAGAGAAGATCAGATGAGACCAGCCTGCTCAGTCTAGTGACAGAGACACACAGAGCGGACATGACTGCTGTCTAGAAGGGTTAGATGCTAGGGGAAAGATTTGTTGCAGCTAAAGGCCAGTGTGGACCCAAGAGCACGAGGGCATGAACTAGTCAGAAATGTTCATATCATTTTCAGCCTAAATTTATTCCTTATCACTAGTACAGTCAGTTCCTTGAGCAGCCATCCAGTACGAACAGTGGGGGTGGGAAGGTACATTTACTTTGCGGAGCCTGACAACGGTGTGAAAGGAAATCTCCAGGGCGATGTCTTTCAGAGCGGGAGTCTGGACTTGACTGAAGAAGTCTACTGCAGCCTGAGATGCCTAAATACTTCAGACTGGTATCAAGCAGTGAATAACATTGCTGCGCAAGGTTTTGGCAGGAAAGTAGAAAAGACCCTTCAATGGAGTAGACAGAAGAGATCGTTGAAATTCTTAGGAATATAGGCCTTGTCACCATATAATCTTTCTAGTCCATCTCTACATGTTGCTGCATGATATTTCCCATAGCAGTAAGCAAAATAAGCTGTTCAGCAGACTGTTACTCTACCAACAGGGAATTCACACTCTCTGGTCTCTCTTGCATCCAGGCTTTGCCCCACCAGATTCTGCTTAGCTCTGACCAGCAAGATGTGAAAAGTCTCAGCTGTAACTCAGATAGCACACTGTGGAGCAATGTTTTTTTGGATAAATATGTCATTTTTCATTATAGGAATACACAGGACAGAGGTTTCAAGAGTGTGAAAAGGGCAGCTCAGGGTCTTTGCCCCGAGGAACCCACAGGAGACCTTTGCAAAAACAGCAGCTGAACGGCTGATCCATGATATACCTTCGAGAAGGAGTCAGAGGAGGCTATGAGAGTGACATAATGAGTTAAAGAAAGATGAATACAAAAGTTATATACAGAAAAGTCTGTTTCACCTGTATGTTCAGCATACGCTTAGGGCTGGCTCTACAGGTAGCTTTCCTTATCCAGAAACTATCAATATAATTTAATGTGACTGGTGATCTGAGGAGAACAAACACACCAAATGACAGCAGATTTTAGAAGGCTTGAAATTCTCTAATTTACCTGTGACTGTGGTGTATAATTGATGTATTTTAATAAAAGGTTTCCATATCTGTGGACTGTGTGGTGAAATTCAAGTTTGTGACGTGATTTATACTTGTTTTGAACACCAAAAACAAATAATTCAAAGCAAATCTACAGATCCCAGTGTCCTCAGAAGGTCTACCTTCTCTGCCTTCTTCTACTGGTCCAGCAAAATCATTTGAGAGTCTTGTTTTTACCGGCTCCCTGAAATGCATTCTAGATAGAGCCTCCAGTGGCACCTCAGGCATTTGATCTAATTACAGCCCTGGCATTAGCACTTGTATTGCTTTGCTTTATGTATGTTACTTGTGTACCTTTAGTACTCAGGAACACTGTTCATGGCATATAAACTCTGGAGGTGACAAAAGAAAACAAACAAACCACAACTCACAGAGGTCTCTTGACTTGATGTTCTTGGCTTGTATGACTCTTATAGAAAGCATGTGGATGGGATTAACCTTCCTCTGCAAAGAAAACAAATGCAATGAGTTTTATCAACTCAGGGCACAAAAATCACATGTATTCTGTATAATACAGGGTACTGTCTGTCTGTGGTGTCTGCCTGTTTGAAGGGAGGGGACCAACCTCGAATGGCAATACGCCATGCTGAGATAATAGCGTGATTGTGCAGTGGGCTATTTACTATATTGCTTGACTAGGCAAAGGCAAAGAGGACGGAAGTTAGGGATTCAGCTAATGCCATGGCAAGCCTCTGCAGTTATCCCACAGGTCCCTCTTTTCATTCAATCTAGTGCAATCATGGTTTTGATGATGGCTGTACCGCCAATCTGCTGAGAGACCTGTACCGCAGCTGGGTCAAAACTGGGCCTTCAGAATGCAAGGCCAGTAACTTGCAGCTGCCTGCTTGGGTCTGCAATAGCAATGACACAAGGCCAGGATGGGGCAGTTACTAAAGTGCTTTAAAAGCTTCTAACGTTGTATCCCAAGTAGGGCTAAATTTTCACAATGCTCCTAAGTAGGCCAAGCTCACTGAAAGGCATCCAGAGGAATGCACTGCCGACTTTTGAGTGGTCAGACCACTGGCTCTGCAAAGACCCTTCAGATGAAGAAAAAAGTGCCCCGCTTTGGAGGCATAACATCACAGAATCCCATATCATTAAGTATTTTTAAAAGCAGATAGCGCTTTGCATACTTTGGCAATGGAGCCGCTTCTCTTCCAGACACGGGATTTATTTTTACTATAGGCTAGCCATGACAAAGAACTACGCTTCCCAACCTAGGCTGGTCAGATTGTATTTGTCATTTTAAAAAGATGTTCCAATAAGCTTGAATCTCTCTTTTTTGTCACGCACAGAATGAACAAACACACATGTACAAATATGTAACAATTTTAATACTAAAAGTGGGAAAATATTTCCTTCTTTTTCAAATTGGAGCATTTAACATTTCTTCTTCATCTTTTGTTGAGTTTTTCATCTGTATTTTTGGCATATTAATATGGATTGTCACCAATAACAAGCAACACAAATATACAGTCCTACTAGCACTGATAAATTAAAATAGGTCCACACCATGTTTGAAGTATTCCATTATTTTCAATGGCAGTTAGAACTAAATACTGACTGAAACACCACATCTTGTCTAAATCAAAGTATCACTTTATACCATAATGAAATAATTTGAGCTCTGTTTTGAAAGATGGCACCATTTTCCTGACATCGAAATCATTAACTTCAAAGTCCCAAAGATTTGGGAAGGTGGGGTTCTCTGTAGAAGTACTTAATCTGAGTTTCTTTTAAAATGAGGTAGAGGCTATTGGACCTTTTATCAGAGATGAGCATAGCCTTCATTCAGTTTCATTCAGTTTTGTTTAGAAGTAAATTATATTACATCAAATGAAGACAATTTGGATTCTGAATAGGCATATTCAAATAAAGGTTTAGTATTAAATTTTACTATGTCATTTTTTAAAGTTACATCTATTTAAATTCAGATTAATATGCAAGAGTCGCCCTACGCACAGATACCCTGTTGTTAGCCCTACAAAATCAGAGAGTACTCTGTCTCTTGGCCTTTTAATGTTTGATTGAAACACTAGTGTGAAAATGCAAGATGCATTTGTTCTCATATAACAAGAACTGTTTCTACTGTGTTTTCTTCCTATTTTAAACAGATATATTTAAAATCCCTCTAAATTTAACAGATTATGGACATTACAAGTTCCAGTTAGGTCACTTCTAAACAATTCCAGTTGCCCACTGAAAGAGTTTGACTTGGATTTTCACATGCAAATAGTTATTTAACATAGCAGTACTAACTGGAATGCTCAGTCAGCATTTCCAGTGGCTTTCATTAACATGAAATATTGGATTATGTAGCAATTATACCACTGACTATTTTTAATTAATATGTTAATTCTGTGTTATTTTGTAATCAACTTCCCTCTTGCTCAATAGAAGCCCAAATCATTCTCAGAATTTGCCTTCCCCAGAGAAATGGATATTTGTACACAATTTGCCCCGCACCTTTTGTGATAAAAATTTCACATTTGCTTACAAAAATTACACATTAGCAGCAGTTCACCATCAAAGCACTCTGAAGTGGGATTCATGTCATCTTTTTTCATCCTCCCCCACTAGACTGAGTGAGTGCCTCACTCTTCCTCCCTTCCCTTTTCAACAGCAATCAGTGCTCCACTTAAACGTGCGAACACCCATCTGCCAAAAGAAACATCATCAGAAATGACTGCTCATTACTTCTGATTTGGTGCAGCATAATCCCTGAGTTGTTGCAGGGTAAAAGATTAACTAGTTCAGATGGGTAAATGGGGCATAACAAACCCTGTGGCTGTGCAAATCCCCAAGGGAAGCCAGAAGCCATTCAGCTCCCAAGGCTGCAATTACTCCAGTCTAGGGTAACTGTGTTCAAAACTGGGCCAAAGCTTTTTCCATGAGAAGAAGCCTGGACTCATTTTCTTCTACAGTGGTCCAGAAGAGCCTACTGGGGTGTGATTTGGGTAGTCCAGAATAACAGCTTTGCACAAAAGGTGCTGGCACTCCAGAACATGCTTTAGAGAAAAAAATAACTGTAGTTAGAGATAACATTTGCTATTTTCATAACATGAAAAGCAATGCGTTGTATCACAATTAATGCAAATGGACAGGCACAGCCACCATATCTGGACAGCTCTCATGACAATCCTGCAGCTCTAGTTCTTGCTCATTTTAGCTCTCTTCCCTGTGTGCTCCATCATTTCCTGCATAGGCACATAGAGAGTGACAAAACCCCTCTGTAAACATCCAGAGCCAAATGCAGCTTTCCAAGGAGCATATAATTCTTTTTTTGCCTAGAAATACAACCACCCATTTTTGCCTGCAAATTAATAGCGGCACACTGATGCCAACAGCAGAGCGCAGGATTCAGCTACTTGTGTATATTTGCATCCTACATGATAACATGCTTGAACAATAACTACTGGCACGTCCAAAGTCCCAAAGAGTAGGCTAAAAAACGCCAGGAAAAAAAATCTTTTCACTGGATTGCATTTAGCACTTTTAACTACTTTTCTGTACTCTCAAATTAAGTTGGGGGGAGGACATTTCAGGTCTAAAATACAGAAAAGTTAATAAACAGAAGATAAAACACAGGTCTCCAGCATGGCAGAATCCCCACAGTTGCATCAAAGTTTAAAGAAACTTTAACTTGCCAAGATCTCAATGGCTACAATGATATTCATTTGCTGGCCTATGTCTGGCTTCCAGAAAATAGTCATGTGCCTGTCAGCTCCAAGAGGACACAGAATTAACTCTCCCTTCTGTTTACAGGCGGTTAGTGACTTCAAGGTTTCATCCTCAAAACTCAGCTTCCGAGTATGTGAGCTTCTCAAAGGTCACTAATTATGAAGAGCCTACCAAAACTGTCTTCAGAAGTGGGAGAAACAGGAACTTCAGTGCAAGAAGCAGAACCTAACTACAGCTCACACCTTTGATTCCAGCCCTTATTGCCTCTCCATGCTTCTCCTAGACTGAGGTCTCCTGACTACCTTCACTAGTAATGTATTCTTCTGGGGGAGTGGTTCCTGCAAAGCCTGGAAACCTGGGAGCCTCCTCCCAGCACCACCTTTTCAAGCTCTTGCTTTAAAAAAAGTCCTTGGTTTGTACATGTTGGAAGCCTAATCGGAATCTCCACATTTCATTTCCCCCCATGAAACCTAAGCAAATCGCTGAGCAGAGTGGGATAACAACAGGTTTTTATACAAAGAGTTTGCTCTCAGTGTTTTGACATTATGTAAATAGCTTTAGGGACATCACTCAGCTTTATCAGCATCTTTTAGGTATGAAAAATTACCTCCTTTCATGCATTACTGGGTTTTTTTCCTCCAATGCTGTACAGGAAGAAGAGATGTTCAATATCTTATATACAGGATCTCACACCAAATGTAATCATTTTCTTATCATTTCTTCTATTTTAGATACTGAGGATATGGTTCACCCACAACTTGGAGGCAATTTACCAAATGGAGATTAAAGCTATAAGCTTTCCAAAGAAGAAAGAAAAAAGCAGAAAGAAAAAAGCAAAAAACCTTCATGAACAACCTGGTTCCAAAATCCTCTCCTCCACGTAGATTCTTTAATAGTTGATGTGGGCCGAGTTTATCAGCCCCTTAATCAGTAAGAATACTGCTAGCAGCTTGTCCTTCCACTCAGCTGCCTATTTTTATTAAAATTAGAGGAATATAAAGTTCTGGGGACTTTTGCTTTTCTCTTAGCTTTGGCTGAAATGGACAGTGATTTCAAGGTTAGTGAGAGAGACAGACGGTGGGAAAAGGAACTGACTGAAGAAATACACAAAACCAGGAGAGGGGATAGAAGGAAACAGCATGACCATGAAAGCCTCATTTTCCTAGGGAATGACAACTATTCAAAATCTTATTACTGGAAGTTGAACGGTCTATTAGTAAATCTAATTGGCTTTACAAATATTTACTGTAATTTCCTGTCATCACTGATGAATTGTTTCCAGAGTCATCATGGATTTGGGATGCATCCCCTCTTCGTATTGTACCGGTCTTTTTACACATATGAGTGGCTAGTGGCTATGGCTCTACTTAGACAGAATTTCTGAGTATTTTACCACATAACAATCTTTCCATAGCTCATAAAACTGCTGAAGGCTGATTACTCTTGACTGAGGAGAAGAAAAGCCATTGCTATGAATAGCAAAAGCATTCCTAACAAGTTGTAAAGTAATATTGCCCATCACTTCTGTGCTAACTTGCTTAGCCTTTTTAAACAAACAAACAAAAAAACTTGGAGACTTTTAGTAGGCCTTCCTAAGGAGTACAAAGCACCCGTGCTTTCTAAACAACTCCCTTTTTTAGAGTTAAAAGAAAAAAAAACAAACAAACCACAAAACCACTATCCCCTGACTTCTATCTCTATTTTCCAGCTTACGCATACTGAAAAATTCTTTCGCCTGACAGAATGACATAGGTACCTGCATT